CACCCATCCCTGTGTCACCATCCCTGTGTCACCATCCCTGGGCAAACGGGGGGCTCAGGGACAGGGAGGCACCGAGTGACCCCCAACACAGCCCCATCATGGCCCAGCGGCTCCCAGTACAGCCCAGCACCCCCCAGCCCAGCCCCAGTGCCCCCCAGTGCCTCCCAGTGCCCCCCAGTGCCTCCCAGTGCCCCCCAGCTCACCCAGGGCCGCGTTGGCCGCCAGGTTGTAGCCGTAGTCGAAGCGCACGAGGCTCAGGTAGGAGATGTGGCAGGTGAGGAAGAGGAGGAGGAAGGCCCTGAAGATGCTGATTAAGGCTGGGCGCTGCAGCCCCAGCGTCCTGGCGGGACAGGGGGCGGGGGGGTGGCCCAGTGAGCCCCCAGGATGGCCCAGGGACCCTCCCCAGTATGGCCCAGTGACGCCCAAACTGGCCCAACAGAGCCCAGCACCTCCCCCAGCAAAGTCCAGTGGCTCCCCAGTGTGGCCCAGTGACCCCACTACACAGCCCAGCACCTCCCAGCACAGACCAAGGATGGCCCAACAGCCACCAGCATGGCCCACCAGTGCCCACCAGTATGGCCTGAGTGACCCCTAACACAGCCCTGGCGTGGCCCAGTGACCCCCAGTACAGAACTGGCATGGCCCAGTGACCCCCTGCATGGCCCAATGACCACTCAGAATGGCCCAGTGCCTCCCAGTACAGAACTGGCATGGCCCAGTGACCCCCCAGCATGGCCCAGTGACCCCCAGTACAGAACTGGCATGGCCCAGTGACCCCCTAGCATGGCCCAGTGACCCCCCAGAATGGCCCAGTGGCTCCCAGTACAGCCCAACATCGCCAGCCCAGCTGCAGTTGGACCCAGTGCCCCCCAGTCCAGCCCCAGTGCCCCCCAGTCCAGTCCCAGTGCCCCCAGTGCCCACCTGACACAGCACAGGTACACCGAGTGCAGGACGGCGGCCGAAGCACAGAAATAATCCAGTTTCTGTGGGATTTGGGATGGATGAGCCCAGCTGGCAGCAAGGGGAGGGGGTGGCAGGGGTCTGACACTCCCAAGGGGGGGGGAACAGGGACCCCCCCAGGGTTTGGGGACACCCTAGGGGTGACACCCCCTCACCTCCGTCAGCGCCGTGTCCCGCGTGTGGAAAACCGTGGACCAGAACCAGGCGTTTAAGGAGACCTGGGAAAGGGGGAAAGGTGGGATTGAGGTGGGGGATGAGGGTCAGAACCCCACACACACCCCAGGTCAGGACCCCCCCAGTTTGGGGGACGAGGGCCCTGAGAATGGGAAGGGAGTGATGGAGCAGCTGGAGCCGGGTGGGATCAGCTGGTTATGGAAAAGAGCTGGGGAAAGGGGGGGGGAAATGGGAAGTGGAAAAGAGGGGGACAAGAGGGAAAGGGAAGGGGAGAAAGGGAAAGGGAGGGGGGGAAAGAAGAAAGGGGAGAAAGGGAAAGGGGAAAAAGGGAAAATGTTAAAAAGGAAAAGGGGAAAACGGAAAGGGAAAAGGAGAAACGGGAAAAGGGGAAAGGGGGAAAAGGGAAAGGGGAAAGGGAAAGGGGGAAAGGGGAAAAAGGG